CGCGGCTCGTAGTCCAGCATGCGCAGCACCAGGTCCTTGAACTTCAGGTAGTCGGAGGGCGAGTGGCCCAGCTCGCCCGCTCGGCGCCCCCCAGGACCCCCACTCTCCACCCCCAGCACCTCATGCAGTCGCCGTGTGCCCGGCACCTTGTACTCCTGCAAGGAAAGACGCTCAGGTCAGCAGGGTGTCCCGGCTGAGATGTTGCGGGAGGAGACTTGCGGGGGTCCCGGCTGGACCGTGGGGAGCACGGAAGACAAGCGGGGAGGGAAATGGACCCAAGAACCCTGACAGGCAGGGCAGGCTCGTGGGGATCCTGGCAGGGCAGGGATTGGGGGGGGCCATGCCTGAGATTCCGGGATCCTGATGGGGGAACCCAGCAGGGTGGGATGGGCAGGAAGAAGGAGCAGTGGCCCCAGGGTCCCTGCACCTTAGGGGACCAGGGAATCTCAGCAGTCAAGGGCCAATGGGGGGGATCCTGGCAGTGGGTGCTAGGGAGCAGTGCAGGGTATAAGGCAGGTGGGATCCCAGCAGCACAGGAATGGCCTGGCCTGGCCTGGCTCTGCATGGGGAGAAGGGGGATTCTGCAGGCGGGAGGGAGGGGGAAGAGAGCAGTAGTGCAGGATGAGGACCAGGGTGAGAGCCCAGGGGCCCCCATCACCTTTTTAATCTCCTTGTTCTTCTTGAGGGCCCAGCCCCCCTCGGGCAGCTTGTCAAAGTACTTCCGGGCCTTGGGCGCCTGCTCCAGCATGTGGGGGGGCGGCAGCCCCAGCACCTCCACAATCCTGTTCATCTGGTCTGCCTGCAGGAAAGGGGGGATGCGTCATGGGGCACCCGTGCTCGCCGTCCCCCTCCCTCCCCGATCATGGGGGCAGTCACGCCCAGCCTCTCCCAGGGGGACACATCCTGACTGCTGTTCAGTTTGCCCAAAGGTTTCCCTCTTCCACAGGGAGGTGGCGGGGCAGCCAAGTGGGAGGCCCATGAGCCAGTTCCACCCTGCTCAAAACCAACCAACTAAATACGCTTTGGTTTGAGTGTTCGTGGTTAAACTGCCCCGCTTCAGATAAGATGTAGTCCATAAGCTCTGGCATATGGAGCACTTTGGTTGAACTACATCTCCCATGATGCACCATGACACATCCCCGCTAAACAAGCAAGGTGCATCATGGGAATTGTAGTTTATATGGCTCATGCTTCCATTCTGTCCTGAGTGCCCTGGCTGGACTACATTTCCCATGATGCCCCACTCTGATGAAGTGCTGGAGGAGCATTACATTACTACAGCGCATCCTCAGAGATATAGTCCAGTCAGGATGCTTGGCCCAAGGCACCCAAACAAAAATTCCCATGACGCACCATGGCCTTCTCCCCTACAGGGCCTGCCCCTCTCCCACCCAGAGAAGGATTGTGGCTCTTGGGCTCTGCCCAGGCATCAATTCCCCCTCCCATCCCTCACCTCATTGGAGCCGCTGAAGAGTGGCTCCCCAGTGTGCATCTCCACCAGAATGCAGCCCAGGGACCACATGTCGATGGCCAGGTCGTACGGCATGCCGAGCAGCACCTCCGGCGAGCGGTAGAAGCGGCTCTGGATGTACTGGTAGATCTGTGGAGATGTGCAGCGTTGTGAGTCCCCGACAGGAGCTGGAGCAGCCCGCAGGGAGGCACAGCCTGGTCTCACAGGGCTACGTCTAGACAGACATGATTTTCCGCAAATGCTTTTAACGGACACATTTTTCGTTAAAAGCATTTGCGGAAAAGAGCGTCTAGATTGGCACGGATTTTCCACAAAAGCACTTTTTGTGGAAAAGCGTCCGTGGCCAATCTAGACGCGCTTTTCCGCAAAAAAGCCCCGATCGCCATTTCCGCAATCGGGGCTTTTTTGCGCAAAACAAATCTGAGCTGTCTACACTGGCCCTTTTGCGCAAAAGCTTTGCACAAAAGGGACTTTTGCCCAAATGGGAGCAGCATAGTATTTCTGCAAGAAGCACTGATTTCTTACAGTAGGAAATCAGTGTTCTTGCGGAAATTCAAGCGGCCAGTGTAGACAGCTGGCAAGTTTTTCTGCAAAAGCAGCTGCTTTTGTGGAAAAACTTGCCAGTCTAGACACAGCAACAGGAGTCCTGGCTCCCAGCCCCTCTCTGTTCTAACCAAGCCCTACTCCCTTCCCAGAGCTGAGTGACAATTCATGTCCTGGCTCCCAGCCTCTCCTCTGTAACCACTAATGCAGGGCAGCCCAGATCTGGCCGTGGGGCTGAGGTAGGGAGGGGACAGGCTGTCTCCTATCTGTATTCCCGCCTCCCCCCCGGCCCAGAGCGGGGCTAGGGGCAGGGCTAAGCACCCTGCTGGCCCCAGGTGCTGAAGTCAATGATCCTGGACCAGCAAAGGGCATGTGGGTATGGTTGGGCCATAGCAGAGGGGTGGTGCCTCGGCTCAGGCCCAGCACATGCACACGCTGGCCTAGCTGGCAAAGTTGATGATCCTGATGGCACTGCGCTTCGGGCTGGAGGAGAGGGGGTGGGGTCAGGAGCCAGGCTATTACACGGGGGGTGGGAATGGAGCTTGGCGGTGCAGCTGGCACACTTGGCCAGTGGCCCAACCCGAAAGCACTGTGCTTGAGGCTGCGGGGCGAGGCCGGCGCCCTCACCCCCGATCTTGATGGCGCTGCGCTTGGGGTTGCAGAGCAGGATGTTCTCGGGCTTGAGGTCGCAGTGGATGATGCTGAGCTCGGGCGTGGCCAGGAAGAGCAGAGCCGTGCACAGCTGCTGGGCAAACTTGCGGGTGAGGTTGAGCGAGACGCCCCGGAAGTTGGTGTTGCGCAACAGGTCGTACAGGTTGTAGGAGAGCAGCTCAAAGACCAGGCACAGGTGGCTCCGGAACATGAAGTGGCGCTTCAGGTGCACTGTGGGGGAGGGAGCGTGAGGCACAGATCGGGGGGGGAGGGGGCTACCCCCCCATGACCTTACAGACTTGCTGAGCCCCCCCCATCATGATGAGAAGAGCCTCCCTCGTAGAACCTCCCCC